GGTTGAGATTATTGCCTACCTCTTTTTTTCTTTCTCTTCTTTCACAGTCAAATTCTTCTCCTTTTCAAAAGGAAGGGTGGCTCTTCCTTGATTTCTTATCTGGCTTACTATTAGTCATTGCTGAGGGCTGTGAAGACCTCCAGGGGCCACAGTGACACAAAGTAATACTGGTGTCAGAAAGCCTTTATTCATAAAGGCACTGTTAACCCCAGCAGGGTTTCCAGTGTACCTGTGTGTTCTTATAACAGTCCTGACAGCACTGCCGTCTGTGCTCCTGCTGGGGTGCGGTAGGCTGTGATTTGCTGTAGACTAGGATTGTGACGTGCTCTATCCTTGCGCAAAGGACGCCAACTTTCATTCAAGTCTTATCTCTACCGTCATTCCAGTTTGGGTCAAACAGTGCAGTTTTATTTTGTTTTTTGTTTTGTTTCTTTGGTACCGGGGATCGAACTCTGGACCTTGCGCTTGCAAGGCAGGCGGCAGAACCACTGCGCGAAATCCCCAGCAAACTGCAGTCGTAAAGGAGATGCCTCTCCGAACAGCCTGAGAGTATCTTTAGGAAGTTCAGAGGGCTGTGGCACCTGATTTCACTGAGAACACACATGATAGGATAAAGTTCTACCTTTCATCCGCTGTCTTTCTCTTCCAAACTACATACTGTATAATTCAAAAGTAAAATCACTGCCATACTAATAAATAGAAACACTATTTTTGGAATTGCAAAAATAAAGACTTTTCCAAAGCGAAAGTATACAGAGAATGGCTCTACAGATTTTATGATACTGTAGATATTTCTTTCCTTTTCTCTAAGTATTATTTTAAAAGATACATACACAGAGATGTTTGGGGATCAACATATGGGAAGACTTACCCATTTGATTGTATTCTTTCTGCCTTAATTTTCCTCTTCAGAGACAACCATATTTGAGTACTTTATTTTTTTCCTGTGGCATTTCCTATCTATACTTTGTTAACAACTGTGTGTATTTGGCTATATTTTTAATTCAGTCAACCCCAGGCACTGTATTTTCACTTTTTGGTTACAGTGAAAGGATTATCTGAAGTACTGTTTCCTCTACTTTCCCTCTCCATTCTTCTCAATATAATATCATTGCATACTTGGTTGAATTAAAAATCATTTCATTAATGACTTACGTATTAATGGACTATGCATAATTATGTTCCCTTTCCTATTTTTGGAAGTTATTCATTGCATTTTTCCATGTGTTTACTTTAATATGTGTCTCTAGGAAACCATTTTAAATTTTTCAGTTGGTTTTCTTTTACTGGTGAATTTAGTTTCCTTCTGTTCACACTGGTTCACTCCTAAGCCCCGCTTCATAGCTGTTATTCCAGAACTTTCTGTCATTGTAGGGATTCTTTCATCTGTCTTTTGCATTAAATTCCCTGTTCTGGGATCCCTTGTTTTCCTTTCTTATTTTATTCTCTAACATCAATGGCACAAATACCCAGGAGTTTCATGATAACAAGTACAGGAAAACTAAATTGGTGTAATCTTTATTTGTCGGGAAATGTGTCCTGCGCAACCCATTCTTTCCTTACTTTTAGATTTGGGTTTGGACATCATTTTCTGTCTTATGCATTACTTCACTTCCTTCTAGTTTCCATTCATGCTTTTCAGACTTCAAAAATCAATTTTTCCTCCTGATATTATATGTGTCCTTTTTTTGTGTGTGTGTGCCCATTTATACTCCTGGCTAGTTTATAAAATCTTCTCTCTTACTATTTTTACTATTTTATCAAAGCATATTAGTGTCAGAAGTGTTTTCAATCATTGTGAATCATGGGGTATAAAAACAAGGTTGTTTCTGGATTTTTTGTTTCAAATATTTAATTGAGAATTTTCTCCTTTTTATTTTTCCCCATTTGGGAGGGCTTCTCTTATAGAAATACTGAAATTCCTAGGCTGGTCTCCTAACAATCTGAGCTATTTTCTACTTAGCTGTATTATGTACTTTTCTCTTTACCCTACATCTCCACAGAATCCACAACTTTAATTTTAAAAAAAAATCATGTATTAAGGTTTTATGTTTACAATTCTGTTTTTAATTTTGATCAGCTCTTTGACTGAATATTTCTTTGTTATAGCATCCTCTTCTTGTCGTGAAGGCAATAGATTCCTTATCTTTCTGTTTTTTGGGTTTTTTTTTTTTTTTTTTTTTGAGACAGGGTCTCACTATGTAGTTGAGACTGACCTCGAACTCACAGCAATCCTCCTGCCTCAGCCTCCCAAGTTCTGGTATTACAGGTGTGCGCCATCACACCGGGCTCCTTATCTTTCTCGAGATGGTAATGATAGTATATTTAAGGGTTTTATTTCCCCTTGGGTAAGGTAATCTCAATTTTTTACGCACTTCTTTTACTTTGTTTTATTGGACGCTATATTTTGTTGCAGAGATTTTTCTCAGATGTCTTCTTGGGTTGTTTGTTCATATTTAAGAAGCTGATTAGAAATTCTAAAACAAATGTATGTGAAACTTGTTAGGAGCTTTGAGCTTTCTTTTTTTTGGTGGTATGGCTACATGTAGTAAAAAGCCTGCGGTATGAAACTGTTAGGTCTTTCTGCTTAGTGTGGTTGAATTTCCCACTGAGGATTCTTTCCCTTTCCTACCTAGAAGGTAAAGGTCCGGCTGCCCTCAGGGAAAGGTGCCCAGTACTGGAAGAGTGGGACTGAAACAAAAGATGCCACAGCTGTCACATGTCACCTGATTCTCTTTATTTCACCACTGTCACCATGGATGCCCTGAGATATCCTTTGTCTTTACCAGGTTAGGATATATTATTGGTATGGGTAACAAGCAAATCCCTTTCATCTATGATTTAGTAGCAAAGATCTGCTATCTTGTGTCAGAGACCCAAGCTAAGGGAGGAGGCTTAGTACCTCTGTTCATATTTGCCAGGGTGGAGCAGAAGAGACCTTGATGAAATGTTCTCTAGCTGTTAAAATACCCATTGCAGAGTGACCCTCGAATCATTTTAACCATAAGAAGTCGGACAGTCTCTCCTTACTTCAAAGGTGCAGAAAAATACAATCTCAAAGTATGCCTGGGAGGAGAACCAGAAATACTGTGTGAATAGCAAGCCCTATTGGCTCCTTCCTTCTCCAGGTGGCTGATAGTTCCCGGATCTTTTCAACAGGGTGAATTGAAGATTGGTTTCTTCCTCAGCTTGCTCCCCTGCTGGTTACCACTTGTCCATTTTCACGTTTCCATTGTCTTTTCCCTGGAACTTGCCCTTCTTTGCAATTATGCCTAGAAGATTTCTGTTTTAGTGGAGTTTAACAGAGGAGGGAAGTTGTATGCATATATTAAATGTGTTGTGTTTAGCAGAAAACTATAGGTGTAATTTTTCATAAACCAAAGGAGCTCATTTTGTAACTTCGCAGTGTTAGTGAAAATACTGTACAGTTAATGAACGTGATAGGGTGAAGATTTTAGTAACATTTTGTACAGGTACTGATACAAACAATCTTTTTATTTTTCCAAGTCTCTCTGCATGTTCCATTTTAAAAGGTACTTCTAATGAAAGCATAGCGAGAAATATTCATTCATTGAGTCTTGAAGCGGCAGTCTGTTTAATTTGCTTAGATTTAGTACTTAATGTCAAATCATTTTGCAGTTCAGAAGGATTTGAATTCTTTGCTTTCATCAAAAGGAAAGCAACTTCTCCTCAGTTGTTTTAACAGTCACAACTGCTACAAAAATGTTGCCTTACAAACAATCACGAAGTTCAGTGACATAATTTCCTTTTATTTGTGGCACATGCGTTTTTTGCTCTGGAGCCTGTGAGCCTCCTGGCTGAGCTGATCTGAGCTCACACAACCTTGGTCAGCTGTGGAAGGGCTGGGCTGCAGGCTTTTGGAGGTGGCAGTTGCAGCAGGGAGACTTCATCTCCCTTCCCTGTGTTCTTTTATTCAATAGCCAGCTTTCTTCAGCCGGTTTCACAGTGGCAACAAGGTTCCAACTGAAAAGCAAAAGCTTCTAAATCCTAGGTTTGCTTTGCCACACTGTGATTTTTGCTGCATTGTTTTGGTCAATGTGTCAGAGGGCAGATCAGATTCAGGAGATGGAAAACACTTTCGTTTCTGATTGGAGACTGTTTTTAATGATTACTTGACAGTTCGGGAAGCCAGAATCTGCAAAAACAGCCCCATTTTTACTTTTCCCTGTAATCCTAGCCCTCTGCCATTTGAAAGTGAGCCTTTGTGATGTAAAGGTACACAGACTGGGTGCTTTACTGGAGGAGGTTATAGAATGGAGTGACCTTTTGTTTCTGGGTATGAAAATGTTCCCCAATGATAACATGTAAATAATTCATTTTCAACTCACCTAATCCCTCTCATTCAAGACCAACCCATTCAGATTATTGAGGCAGGATGACAGTAACATTTTATATTTAAAAATTACTCATGAAAAAGCAGAAAACATGCATTATTTCAACTGCATATACTGTAATCTTAAACACATTTTCAATACTTAGAATACTATATATTGCTCAAGACAATACGTTGAAAAAAATTTAAAATTTATCAAACAGATTCCATTAAAGTAAATTTTGCGAGGGGATAGTAGAAAGAGTACAAGTTCAAGGAAAAAACAGTATGGAACTTTTAATGGTTAAAAGAAAGCTTGTTTATAGGACTCTGGGTTGTTTTGATGTATAGTCAAATCAATATTCCATTGGATATTAATAAAAGGGTAACATGACCACATTATTTTAAAATACCGGTACTTAAAATATGACGGAAATTTTATGCTTTCTAATATTATACTTAGAACTAAAAATTTTAGAAGTGAACTGAAATGAGAAACTAGGCTTAAAAGTTATATATCTAATATGCATAAGCATATGTGTGTATGCTTGCTTGAAACAAGGAACAGTGTTTTAAGATGATTTTTGGAGGAGAAAGTGTGTCCTGCAAAGGCCTTTACTGTGAAGTGACTCATCCGTCCCTTTTTTTTTCTTTGTGATTCTTCCAGAACGCTGTGATGACTGGGGACTCGATACCATGAGACAAATCCAAGTATTTGAAGATGAACCCGCTCGAATCAAGTGCCCACTCTTTGAACACTTCCTGAAGTTTAACTACAGCACAGCCCATTCAGCTGGCCTCACTCTGATCTGGTATTGGACTAGGCAGGACCGGGACCTTGAGGAGCCAATTAACTTCCGGCTCCCTGAGAACCGCATTAGTAAGGAGAAGGACGTGCTCTGGTTCCGGCCCACCCTTCTCAACGACACAGGCAACTATACCTGCATGTTGAGGTAACTTAACTCTCAGCAGTAGCTTTTCTTTCTCCTCTTGGAGTCCCAGTCCTTTATTCGGATTAGGAGTGCGCCTCCAAGGCGAGGAGGGAAAGGAACCATTTAGATAGAGAGGCTGAGGAAGAGCTGTCCTGTGCCTCTGAGAACATTTTCCACCAGGGGTTCCTGTGACATCTGTCACAGTGGTCTAAAGTCACCTTGTTTATTCGCTGCTTTTCCACAGCCTCAGAACCCACCAACTCGTGGGGCTCACCTGGAGGCATCCATTTCCTTAGAAATTACACAGGGCAGGGAGTAGGACTTGTTTATGTCTGTTGTTCTTGGCATCTTTCAAAGTGTTTGGCACAATAGAGGCACTCAGAGTGCTTTTTTGGAAGAAGGAATATTTGGGAGACAGTAAATATATTTAGGACAATATTTTTAAGCTTTTCTACCAAAATTCCCTTAAGAAGCAAGTGAGCACCACATCCTGAGGAATCTTACTTAATCTAAAGCAGCTAGCCATTACTGCACAGTGTATCAAATCCATTTTTGTCTTGGACATCTTTGTAAATTGTATGTTTTATCCTCAACGTGCCTATTTTCCTTTTATAACGGATTAGGATTAATGTTTGGTTTGGCAAGTGAAACAAAACAAAAGCAAACAAAAAAGAACTGAGGCGCCAGCAAAGAATAACTATTTTAAGCCTTACTTCTTTGGTTACTTTAGACTTACAGTTTCTTTTTCGCTACCAGGCTGTACTTTTCTAAACTTCCATTTTTTTTCATTGCTGTTCATTGAACATAATTTTCTACAAAATCCTTAACAGGAATATTGTTTTCCAGAAATGCAGCAACAAAATGCCACAGTCCAGATGGCTTACGCAACAGAAATTAATTTTTGCACAATTCTGGAGGCTGGAAGTCTCCGATTAAAGTTGGCAGGGTGGATTTCATCCCCACTGAATCTCTCCTTGACTTCTACATGATCATCCTCTCTCCACATCTTCGTGTAGTCTTGTGGTTGTCTGTGTCTGTGTCCTAATGTTCTCTTCTAAGGACACTGGTAGTAATAGCCTAGGGCCCAGCCTTATGAACTTATTTTACTTAATTATATCTTTAAGGGCCCCATTCCTAAAAACAGTCAAATTCTAAGGCACTGTGCGTTTGAACTGCTCTAGATGAATGTGGGGTAGTGGCGAACGTAGTTCAGGCATAATAAGTAGTAGTCCTGTATCCCTTTTCTCTCATGAATGCTAGCAATTCTCTGATTGAAGACTATAACTATGTCTTGATAACTGTAAGCTATGTTACGATTATATGAAGAGGACTTCTTCTTATCGCTAAAGATGCCTTTGGTCTATGCAGCCTACATAGTCCCTTCTGCTGCTTTCGCCTGACACTGATTTCACCGAAACGGACTCCAGGCTGACATATGAATACTCATGTGCCCTTATCTTAATACGACCTGACATAAGTTAAAACAGATGGCACTGGAACGAGCACCGATGAGCAGGCCGAGAAGCCAGGCCATCGTGCCCGCTCCATCGCTGCTCCCCTGATGAATTTAGGCAAGTCGTGGTCACATCTGGATTTTGCATGTCTTCGTCTGCACCATGAGAACATCGGCCTGCAGGCTCTTTCAGCTCCTTCTCGTCACCGGCAGTTGTTAATCCGTTAGGTATTTCCCAAGTGAACACGAGCGAATCCGTGGGGAGCACTCATTCTCTGTGTTCCCTTTGATTCTGGTCTCTACAGCATATTCTCCCACTTCTGCATCTGTACCTCTTCTGTTTAATTATCCACTGCTTGCTTGAAACTCTTATCCAGTCTTCTGTCATCTTCTTCCATTGCAGGAGTAGAGCTGCTTGAATGGTAATGTCTGCATGTATCTTTAAGTGTTATTTATCAATTTCCAGATGGTCTGTTTTTCAGTTAACTGTCTGCTTATCTTCATCGCTTCAGCAAACCTAGGACTGAAATTGTCTGCTAGGAAGCCTTAAAAACTTCCCATGGCCCTGCAGTGATTCCTAAACTCAAAATAGGCTCCAACAGAGCCATGTAGCTCCCTGACTGGATGTCTTTTAAACTATGAAGTGAGATTCGTCTTCCCATATTTTGCAGTTTATATTTTTGCTCCAGTTATTCACTTTAAGAGTTGCAAAAGCCAGTTCAACCACTGGTCATTGCTTTTGTTAAAATCAGAAGCTGTACCGTAATATTAAGTGAGAATACTCCCTCAATGACTTCTACCTATGGAATCCAAGTGTACCTTCGGTTGGTAGACAGAGATCATACCTGATATTCCCCCTTGCCATGTTCCTATGACTCTCAAAACCTGATTTGTAGCACCTTTCCCCTCCTGTTTGGGAAAGAATGCCCCATCTCTTCCACTGTACTCAGTATTGGTTTATGAGTCATTGAATGTCTACTATGGGTTTGGTCCTGCAGCTAAAAATGAGCAGTAAAGATGGACAGTTAAGACTCGTTGTTCCATTACCTAGGTAGTTATTTTATTATTCTGTGTTTTCTTTTATTATTCTATTTTCCCGACACAGATATATACATACAAGTTTTACATTATTTATCACCTACTAAAAGTTTAGATGCTATACTATATTCAATAAATACAATAAACAAAAATGTGGAACTTAAATTTTACAGAGGATATTGATACATATCTAGAATATAACTACATCATTTCAAAATGTGATCAGTTTAGTCAAATAAATTTCCCTGGTAAATCATGAATGGGAGCCCTAACTGAGACGTGGGGTAGGTAGAAGATAATGGAGATGTGAACTCTCTAGCCAGAAGGAAAACTGCAATTTCCCAGAAGTTTTTTAAATCTAAAAAATTAGAATTTTTTTAATTCTAAGAAAGACTTATGTGTTTATTTTTGCCCTTCATATTTGTTTGGTTTTACAAGGGCTGATAGCAATTTTAAATGGTTGTAGTATAGTTTTCTTTACAATCTTTTTGATTCTTTGGTTTATTCCAGGATTTTCTCATTTGATAATGTGTGTCACCATTTCCACTTTTCCCTGTCTCTACCACGTGGAAAACAAACAGAAAAACAAACAAAAACTTCCAGACATAAGGTTCTTAGGCCAAAACCAAAGACGTTATCACTTACCCTGCAAACAGTTCTTTTCCAAAGGTTGTTTTAACTATTATCAGCTATGCATAAATATTTCATTCTTGCCTTTGCTTTGCTAATACTAATATTGAAAATGGTTTAAGTGAAAAATGTTAAACATATACACACTTTTAGGTGCTTATATAAAGTAAAAGTAGTTTAATACGTTAAGAATAGATAATTTGGGCCAGGGATTTAGCTCAATGGCACTGCACTGTGCCTGTCTTGCCAGCTCATGGTCCTGAGTTTGATCCATGGTACAGAAGGAAAAAAAATAGATAATTTTTAAGAATTCTGTGATGTCAGTTGATATAGGAAATGCTTCCATCATTCATTTGTTTACACAAATGTATACGTATAAATGAGGTAGCAGTTGAGTTTGTTTTAATATGATTGCAATGCTAAATCAAATGCAAAAGAAACTACCTAATCATTGCACATTTCTCTTTTCAGAAATACTACATATTGCAGCAAAGTTGCGTTCCCCCTGGAAGTTGTTCAAAAAGACAGCTGTTTCAAATCCTCCATGAAACTCCCAGTGGAAAAGTTGTATGTAGAAGATGGTATTCAGAAGATCACTTGTCCAAATGTGGATGGCTATTTCCCTTCCACTGTCAAGCCAAATGTCACTTGGTATATGGTAAGCAAATTCGAGCAAATTTTATCCTTTCTAGAATGGCAATAGTTATTTGCTGCATTAAATGTAGAAACTCAGATTGCTTTATCCTCAGTTTTTTTTTTATTTCTTCATTAATAACTTCATACAAATCTTTCACCATTTCATTTGGTACTGTTTAAAAGAAAGAGGTAAAATGTTGCTTTGCCGCAGACCACTGTTTCTTAACTTACACTCACTGGAGTACCCAAACTGAAATATTTCTGCTGACTTCCTGTGGGACACATTTTGAGCAATGTTTTCCAACTTCCACTCACTACTTACAGAAGCCAGAAGATGCTGACTCATCTGGTGAATTTCAGCTCCTTGATGAGTCAGCACTGTCATTTACTATTTGAATGCATTTCCCTGTTTGCCCTCATTTGTGGGCACCATCCGTCTGTGGTCTTTTCCACACCTGAGGGCTTTGGAAAATGTGTAATCAATAAATGAAAGTGTTGGAAGGTGACACTGCTGGCAACAGCACAGCCTCAAATCTCATCGAGTCTCCACGTATGCCAGAGCCAAAACCTCAAGGGCAGTAGTTATAGCAATACTCAATGAGAAGTTATACCCAAGAACTGATATCAACACAGCCATTAACAGCCCTAAGACATCAGTAAATACATTTAGAAAAGGCCTGAAATTATACAACTCATTGCACACTTAGACTGAAGGAAATACATTTTTTTCAGAAATGAAGCTAAACCGAGAACATAACAAATGCAGACAAACACACATAACACATAAAGCTGTAAAGTTAGTAGGACATGAGATGCAGAAAACGTTTACAAACACTACTGAGTGACATTAGAGTGGGTGTAGAAATATCAGGTAGTATGGCTTAAGACAATGAGTAGTACTAGAGTTAAAGACATTTCATAATAATGAAAAGATCATTTCATCAGGAAGACATACAAATACAACGATGTCTTCTAACGATGCAGTACACTACGCCCAAATACACGTAGCAAGAGTTGGCTGAATTCAAGGGCGAAAAGAATTCTACAGTCATGGTGGAAAATTTTGAATCCTCTAAACTGCTACTGACATAATTTAGGAGGAATCGACTTAGAGAGTCTTCTGTTGGCTAAAGATGAGCAATCTGCAATTAGATTTTGAATAAAAAAGTAATTGCAAATAAAGTCGTACTTTATTTCCTCTGCAACTCTGAGGCATGAACATCGGGCTTTCACAGAGGTGTCTGTGAGACAGCTAGTCGGCAGTGCCAAGTGGGTTGTGGTTGCCTGTAGGTGGGTCTGGAGCATAAGAGAAAAATTAGAGCAGGCGATAGAGAATTGTATGCAGCTATATGATAGTTGAAGACCTTGAGAGGAGTAAATAAAGTGAGAAGAGAAGCCAGTTAAGTCAGTCCATGAGATTAATGATAGCATAGAGTATGCAGAAGAGACTGAGGAAAAAAAAAAAAAAACGCGTTACTGATGTAAAACAATTGCCATGGAAAGGCCCCCGAAATATAAGGTGTTCAAAAATGACAATCAGCAAACCATCTTTTTTACCTCTGGTTATAAAACGATTGCTACTGGTGCACATTATATGGCTTTTTATTTCTCTGCCTTTGCCAACTTTTTATCTTTCTTTATCTGTATCTCTGCCTTTGCTTACTGATATCTTTAATCCTAAGATTTCTTCCATCCTGGGAACAAAACCAGTGTTTTCAATAGCTGCATTCTCTGCTGTTGTGAAACAGTAGTGATGTCGCTTTGTGTTCTCTACTTTCTGCACTCATCCTCAAATATCCACTCAGGTACCTCGGCGCCACTGCATCAGGTCTCTCTCTGTTGGGATCCCTTCTTGGACATCGTTTGAATGGTATCTTTTAGTAATACAAGGGTTAAATGTCACATTAATTATAATCGGTTTCAGCAGATTTGTTTTGCTGTTTTCTGAAAGTTGAAAGCTTCTGTATCGAAAGGATGAAGAGGAAATTGATATACATCAGACATTACACCAGTCCTGTACAAGGCAACGTGCCAATATAACTTTATGTGGCATTGTTGACAGTGCTCACCTCAGGGGGGTGTCGTCTTTCAATAGATAAAGAAATGGCGCCTTTGAAGAGGGAATGCTTGTAGTTAACATCTGTTGAACACAGGGATTGTCCTGAGTGCTTTATTTCAGCTTCTTTCTCAACATTCTTACGAAGTAGCTTCTCGTGTTTTCCAAGGAAAACAAGGTAGAGTGCAGTTGAGTGATTTGCCAAAGAGCACAGGGCTGGGAGCCAAGAGTGAATCCTGCATGTTGCTCTCTATTCTTTTCTATAATTTACTCAAAACAGTCAAAATGCAAATGCGACCGTGAGGGATTTCAGGTTAGTTTTATGTGGTTCCAAAACCGGAACTCCCCAGGGCTAACGTGCAGAAGGTCTTTACTTTTAGAGTGCAGGGCGCTGTGAACGGTAGGGGAATCTTTGAATGCATACTAGGCGTTAAACTGAAGTGGGGGACTTGGAAACCTGTGAGTGGCAGGCCCTGGGAAATCAGAGGGGCTCTCACAGAGTGACACTGAAGGGAGCATAAAACCTGATATTTCTATTTCAGAATTGCAGAGGAAATGGGACAGGATTTTGTTTTTCTCCTCTGCATATCTTTACTTCCGCTTCCTCCCCTCTTGTGCCTGGCAGTTTCCCTAATTCAGGAGCCACAATTCACAGTTCTCTAATTCAGCAATCCTGTGAGGTAAATTGATGTTCGGTAAATGTTTGTTGAGTAAGTTCAGGTTTGGTAACTGGCCTAAAAAGCAAATTGCGGTTTGTAAGTGATTTACTGAATTTCGAATAGCTGGTTTGTCAAGGAACCTTTAGAACACAATATGGTTATAAATTGGAGACTGCCTGTTTATGCATCTAGGGACTTCCAAATATATTGCAGTAAAAATAGAGGTAAATGTGATCCTGTTTATTGTTGTCATTTTTATTACTATTATTAGATTTATTTGGAGACCTGGGGTTCAAAATATGGCAGGCCATCTTGACTTTCATATTACTGGATTAATCCTCTATCTCATTGTTATGGTTAGATATTTGAAATTCTGCTTTATAGAAACACTAATAAAAGCTAAAGCAATTTCTCCTTTCCCCTGAGGATCAGAGAAACCACTTTATTGGGTGTTTTGTGTATTACATTTATGACAACTGCTGAAATCCTCTCAACTGCCAGGCAGAAGAATCCATGTCACACTGGTAAAAGTTTACCAATAGCCCACTGTCCTGGTACCCATCGTGATGTTTAAAATTGGTGTCTTACTCACATTTGCAATTCTTACTGTGAAATTAGCCCGATTTGGTCAGATGTTAGATATGTGAGTCTCTCGGAAACAGCGACGCCTTTGCTTTTTTTCTGACAAAATGTCATCAGGAGAGAACACTTCTGATAATGTGCCAGGCCAGGCTTCCTTGTTGGCATAGCGTGGACTGCTGGGAAGTGAGTCCAAGGTTTGTGTAATAGACTTTCTTTTTTAAATGCTTGCCTGAATTTGGCTGGACGGCTTCGATTGCTTCTTGCTCTCATTCCTCTCCCCGTGCTCCCTGCAGAGTGGTTTCTGACCTTTTGCATGAAGGTGACCTGTCACGTTTCCTCTCAGAGTTACCCATACGCCCTTAAACACACCACATGTTACATACTCTTCTAGGGCTTTCAAGGACTCAAGAATTCACCAGTTAAAACTTAAAAGTAGATTCAAATAGGGGCCGGGAATTTAGCTCAGTGGTGCCGCTGCTTGCCCTCACAAGGTCCCAAATTTGAACTCCAGCACCAAAAAATAAAAAATAACATTTTTAAAAAATTTAAAAAGTAAATTCAAATAAATATCTGGTAAGCCCGCAGGCTAAATCAGGCCAAACCACTTGCCCAGTCTGTACTCCGGTAGAACTGAGTTCACACGTCATCTTTGTTCATGGGGTGATTGTATTTATTTCTCTTCCGTGACAGATAGTGCACTCCCTTTTCTCTTTCTGTTCCTTGAATTCCGAGCACATAGAGCACAAAATGGAGCCAATATGTATTTCACTTAGGAATTGATTAAATAATTGAATGAAGTAGACCAGAGTGTAAAATTCCATGGGAACAAATGCCATCTCTGTTCTCACTGGCTGTTATGTCCACAGCTCCTAACAGTGCCTGGCACATTGGAGGGACCTTGTAAATATTTATAGATATGGGAAGACTTAGTTCTGTTTATTGGAAGTGCCTGAGTTATGTAACTCTTCTGAAGCTTCGTGACAAAATATGATGTATTTTATATCAACATAATCTTGGAGGCCTCAGTAGCTATTCCTGACTCTCCAGACCTTGTGTTTTAGTAAAACTCTTTGTATTTTTACTCTCTTTCCTCATCCATTCTAAATCCTCCCCCCGGCCCTATGTTTTGTTTGTTTTGTTTTGTTTTCTCTCATTGAGTTCATTGGTACTTTTTAGGTCTACAGTACAGTTACATTCATCACTGGGATCTTTTTTTGTAATCTGTAATCTCAGTATCCATCCAAGGCACTGTGAGCTTTCTATCCCGTGTCTTGTGCCTTGGCTTCTTTCAAACATATTTTTGATCATGAAACACAAATGTATAGAGCTGCATGTGTTAGACATGGGGTAGATTTCTGATCAGGCAGATCAGGCACTTACGCACTTCCTACTGGCCCATAAGCGGTTACTTTTCTAGGAGAGAAGGAGATTTACTGGAAACAGCACTGTAATAAAGTCACTTAAGTCGAACAAGAAGGGGAAAACACTGAGAGTGCAGGTGAATTCTTCATCCTCATCCCTGTGCTTGGAGTGTTTCTCTCTAATGTTTGCCTTCTTCCCAATTGCTGTGGATGTACTTATCCTTCAAGACCCAGGCCAGGTTTTCTGTCCTCCCCAAGTTTTTCTGGATGTATACTGTTGGACTTTCTTCACACACACACCCCTTCCCCAGTATGCCTTCTGCTTGATGTGTGGCACTAAACTGAATATCTATAGATTCGGAGCCATGAGCTTTGTCCTTTGTGTCTTCACTGAGTTCTTTACATGCTATAGGTTTACTGAAGGGAGACACTTACCTGTAACTTCATCGGGACATCCCCTACCACCAACCTTCGTCTCTCCACGTGCTTTATTTCCACTCAAGGATTTCAGAGTCACTTCCTGCTCTGTTCTTTACATATATGTTGGGGTTGGTTGTCACAGCAACACCTGCGTGGTTGAAAAGTTGGTCTTCTGTTTAACTTCTCTATTTTGAATTCAGAATGAGGAACTGCTGAGTCACCTAGAAAGACCGTTTATCTTATAGTCAGACAAGTAAGTGTTTGTTTCTTTGTAGAAACCCACATACCATTATTCATAACTTATTTTTGGAAATGTTTTCTACTTGAGTATCCACATCTTTGTTCATTTCCATTTTCTTTCTGGATTCCAAACAAATGGTTCTGAAATCATTTATAAGACTCACAGAATTTATTTTTCAGCATTTCTTTATTATGTTTAATAATGTCTTCCACTCAGATGCTGCAGTGTCTACAGACTGAACTGCTTCTAAGAAAACCTGAGAACTAACCAACCAGTATGTCCTAAAATTAAAAGTGTATCAGTGTGCAGATAGTAACTCCTTGCACATATAAACACTTAGAATGTGAAATACTGCCTTTATTTCCATTCTCAAAAGGCTATAGGCCTAATACCTCTGAAAGAGCTATAAAAGATTCCTTTCAGCACATTCTTAAAAAGTGCTGTGGACAAGTTCAGTACTAATAACTGACTTCTCTTCTTGAAAAGTACGGCTTACCAGTTTACCACTAATTGCAGGAATCAGCCTAATTTACACAACAGAGGCCTAGCACACTTAGCACAGAAGTTGGCCTAGGGGTTTGCATAGGTTCAGGGCCTCTGGATAAGATGTGGGAACATAAGAGGTAGAATTAAAAGCAAATCCTACACCTTTAGCCCCTTTCTTCCTATTTCACATTGTCCCTTATATCATTAGGATCTTATGTACTATTATAGTTTATTTACACCAGAGAAATTATTCAGTATTTACACATGTATGACTTACTTATTTCACTTAGGAGTATATCCTCAATATGCATCCATTTTCCTATGAATGAATCTAATTGCTCATTCTTTATGGCTGAGTAATATTTCATTTTATAGAAAAACCACATCTTCTTTATCCAGTTTCCAATTGATGGGCAAATGGGCTGTTTCCAAGTTTTAGCTATTCCAAACTATGCTGCTATAAACATGGGTGCGCATATATCACTGTGATATGATTCTTTTAATTCATTTGGAACAATATCCAGCAGAGTGATAGCTGGGTCAAATGGAACCTGTAGTCCCAGCTCTCTGAGGTATCTCCATATTGATTTCCATAGGGGTTGCACCAGTCCGCACTCCCACCCTAAGTGGGAAGGGTAGGGGAAAGCTAATAAGGGCAAAGCAAAAAATATGAGAAAATGAAAAAAAATGGAAATGAAGTGTTTGTAAAGGGGGAGGGGAGGTGGGATGGAGGGAAGGCAGGGACAAGGGGAAAAAAGATAAAAGCATTGCAAACTTTCTAAATTTGGAGTAAGAACGGGGTGAGGTAACAGTGTACATGTTAATTGTATAATTCGGTATAATTTGTACAGCATCTGCTAGCTCATGGTTAAAGAGGGGTGTTCAGTGTTAGTTAAGCCAGGAGAAGGCCTTTATATAGCTGTCTGGAAAACCGAGCTATAGCTCTGTACTTTTCTATTTAGGATATCTCTGTCTTCTGTGGGTTTGTTTTTTTCTATCTATAAAACCAGAGCATATTCTATTCTGTCTGCTTTACAGGGATTTAAGAGCAGCTAAGCTAACAAATGAAGGGAAAATATCTTTGAACTGTTTAAGTGAAAGGTACCCCAAAATTCAAATAGAGTTCTTTAGCATTCTATATTCGATCTCAACCCAGTCTGATATAAATTCATCATAAGAGTTTAGGCCTTTGTGACTTCAGTCTTTGATAACCTAAGTGTATCGAAATCTTCCCCTGAGGTGACAAGTGTCCAGAAGCATTGCGTATCCAAACAGGAGAAATTGTGTTGAGAAAATATCTCACCCACGCTCACATCACCTTCTCTTTGTGCAGCCAAAGTATAGTGCTAGTCTCAAAAGACATATTTCCGGTGAGAAAGAATTACAAAATGTGTCTCTTGTGGTAACTGTCCAGTTTCAAAATACATGCTCCAGGAATTGAAAAAAAAGAATCTTAAATGTACAAGAATTAGAGTTACACATACGAATACAGGAAAATGAACCTGCCATTCATTAGTAGACCAGTATTTGAAAGGCTTAAAGGACCTTAGAGATAAATTAATCGTTTAAAAGAATGAATTAATGATGTTTAAAAAAAAAACAAAAATTTCTATTAGTAGTATATGTGCTACAGAATAAATTCATTCACTATGGGAAGTTAATATATCCGGCATTTTCATCCTTTTTACTCCCCTTCCCCTCCGCTGGTCTCTTTTGCCTTCCCCAGACAACCTGCCCATCTTCACGAAGTCTGTCTCCCTGTTTCCCGTCATCTATCTTTTATTTTGCTGTTTAAGCAAAGTCTTTTTTTTTTTTTTTGAAAGTAAATGGTCAACATATGTTTTGGTCGCGAGTGAGACACTGAATTCTCCACTGAAATAAAAAATAAAACCACGCGGCCGTTCGATGAGACTCGGAGATCCAAAACAAGGCTCTGATTACTTCGTGTGAGACAATAGAATCTCAAAATTTTTAACATCAACTGAGTTGTGGGAAAGTATGAGACTCAGAAAGACACTCTCAGATCTGCATAAGGCTCCTACAAAGCTTTTCTTATTTAAATTCTGGAGTCTTAAACCACTCAACTGTAAAGATAAACCAGAAGAAAAGGAGAACGGCAAATGACATCTAAATTTGAGCCTGTTTAATCTGACACATGAGTGGGTTACTGAATTAATATAACCAGTGATAACTTTAGAAAAAGGGAAAATAACTGTTTTCGAAAGCAGAGTTTGCAGTCACTCAAAATTTCTCAGTCATCGTTTCAAAACTTTAACCTTGCTTTACGATCAACACAGGGTTCTGGATTTTGAATACTGGATCCTGAGACAGGAAGCCCCTGCTTTGAAAGTCATAGCTTAGCATAGAATTTTAATTTCCCTCTTGCAAAAAAGTTAATGACATTTATTCCACCTTGTAGAAACGTTATCCAGATAATAGACCAAAATAGTCTTGTTAAAAGAGTAGAATAGGACTGGGATTTAGCTCAGTGGTGCCTGCCTTGAAAGTGCAAGATCCTGAGTCTGATCACCAATTAAAAAAAAAAAAGGCAGAATAGATTATTTTGATGTTCTGTGAAAAATTAGGTGCCAGAGTATGTGTGTTTGTGTATTTGCAATGAGTACGGCTAAGGAATAAACATCTTTTCTTCTTCTAGGATTGTTCTTTAATAAAGGATTTTCATAATGTACTGCCTGATGGCATGAACTTGAGCTTTTTCATTCCCTTTACTTCAAATAATGGAAATTACACATGTGTTGTTACATATCCGGAAAATGGACGCGTCTTTAGTTTCACCAGGAGTGTGACTGTAAAGGTGGTGGGTAAGCATGATCTGTTTTATGTACACACAACACAAATACAGTAATCTTATTCTGGCTCTTAATAACTTATTATGCACAGTCTGTCAGCTCTATAAAAAGGGACATATTTTTGTTCATCACGCTATCCTCAGAGCCTTCAGCAATTCCTTGTACAAAGTAAGTATTCAACAACTATTGACTGAACGAGTATAAGAAGGCAGTAAAGCATTTTGGGGAATGAAAAGTGTACCAGGCAGGGCAGTGTTCAGATTATATCACTTCCATTTTAGCTGTGTGACTTTGATCAAGTTCTCCAGGTTGCCTTGTCTGTAGTCTGGAACTAAATTACCTAGTAAATGAGAATATCAGAAGTAATTCACTTATGGGCTACTAGAGTTCCAGGCCAGCAGTGGACATTGAATGAATGGTATTAATATTCTTTTCAAAAATGTGTTTCACCTGGGTTAAGTAATCTGTATCAGTCTGTGTATTGAAACTGCTTTGCTCTTGCTGGTGATATTTTCCAGCAGTTTTCAACTATGGTTTTGCACTGAGGGAACTGTTAGTGAGAAAATGGGAAATAGAAGAGAAAGTCCCTCGGCAGAGTTGGGATTCCCATCAAACCCAGACATCAAAAGAACTGATGTCAGAATATGTGGCTTCTAGGGGCAGGTTATAAACACCGCCATGTCTACCCTGATAACAATAACATAAGCGAGTACGATTTTTCCATACTCATGTTTTACTGAATGGAAATAGTGAGTCCTAGAAACAGGAAGTCATTTGTTTAGAGACACCCCATGAGTTAGAGCAGCAATTCATTGTAAATCCTTGGTCTCTGTTCAGGACTTTTTTTTACTAGTCAGACACCAGATTCAGTGTAAATTACAAGCCAAAAAGGGTTTTAACACAGTGCAAATAAAATATATGAGTCTTCTTAGGAGTTGAAAATCAATGCCAGGATGTTGGACATGACTTCACAGAAGATTATTTAATAAGGCTACATGATTTAACATCATCTCTCTCTTTTTTAAAAATTTTCTATCACAGGTTCTCCAAAAGATGCATCGCCCCCCAATATTATTTCCCCCAACGATCGTGTGATCTATGAGAAAGAACCGGGTAATTATAGCTGTGCCACTGGATTTCACTGAGATTCTCTTAATTACAAAAAGTAAAATGTCATTTAAATTAGCAAAGGACAACAAAGAGCTATTATAACGAAATGCATGAGTTTAAATTGACAGTGCTCTTGGCAAAAACCAAGGCAACTCTAGGGATGAGCTACTTCAGGGATCTCATGGGAGACTTCAGGGTTCTTTGCCTGTCTGTCAGCATCTGTACCTCAGTCTTCCTCTGCTGATCAGTGATTTGTTTGATGTAGACTTGACTTTGCACAGTGCTGTGCTTTGTAGAGACATGAGACTAAGATATCTTTAAGCTTCTGCTCCACTATCAAAGGGCAGAGGGTGGGTCTTGGAGATGGGACTGTGCCTATCATAGAAAAAATTCATATAGCTATTTCACCTGCATGCAGAACACTGTCAGATGTTTTCTATGGTTTCCTGGGTCTCCTGTTAGTTTATATAGTTTTTTTAATCTAGACAAAAATCATCTGTAACTGACCAATGAGAAATAATTATGTTCTTCCAACTCAAAAAGCCTCGCACAGTTAAATGAATAAAGACCAATAGAAAATTTTAGTATTTTCCTTATTGTGTCCCTTACGCTAAATTGAATTTGGACACAGTGAATGGTATAAAAGAGCATTTGTTTAAAGTGGACTAAAGATAATAGAATCAGTGATCAATCTAAGTGGAGCACAGCACTACCAAAAACAGAAAGCCCTAAACCTTAATTGCAAATACGACTTTCCTAGTCTAAAGAAATAGAGAACATAGTAGTTGCCTGCCAACCTGAAACCAACTGAGTTTGTAAGAATCACTGTGGTGTTCTATAGGAATGTGGATGTTCTTCTCACTATCAGGGTTAACTGTTGTGAAACAATGTTAGAGAAAACTGGAAAGACTCAAAAGCCATATATCAGGATGAGGACTAGAATATGACCACTCAGTCAGATAAAGCTAGGTTCTAATTAAGGTGACAACAGTGACTACATGATTTATCATTTAAAGCTAGACACTTCTGAAGAATGAAAGCCTTCAGCATTCATACATAATCAGGAAAGCATGAATAAATAAGACAATTTTTTGGGCCGGGGATTTAGCTCAGCAGTTCCGCCACCTGCCTTGCAAGCACAAGAACCCGAGTTCGATCCCCGGTACCAAAAAATAAAAAATAAAGAGACAATTTTTCTGGGCAAGCTGAGGAGGGAGACCTTATCCAAAAGTCTGGCCTACTATTCATTAACAATTTGACCTAGACATATCCTCTAATGCTTCTAAGTTTCAGCTTTTGCTTTACAAAAAAAAAAGTCTCATAGTGTTTTATTAGGGTTAAATGAGAACATTAAAAGATGTAAACGTTGAGCAGAATTCTCAGTGAGTGCATCGCAGAGACCTGGAGCATCTTTCTGCGATGCTTTGCTTAGAAAGAGATTAAAAGAGAAGAGCAGTCCGTAGAGCTTCCGCACTGAAAAGGATATGGTCAGAGTCTTTTTAAACAACTGCTGCCTTTTTAGAGCGTATTTAGAGTACATTAAAATGGTCATTCCAGAAATTTTCTGTAAAGTTACTGACTTTTTCTTTTTTTTTTGGTGTTGTCCTTTGGTTTGGTTGCTTTTAGAGTGAAGTATGGTATATTACCTATGGTAGTCCACTAGAGAATTAGATCAGTGCAGCCAAGTCACGTGAAAGTTAACAAATGCATGAGTTAACTTCACCTGCTACTTTCTTTTTGCTTTTGTTTTAGGAGAGGAGCTGCTCATCCCCTGTAGAGTCTATTTTAGCTTTATCATGGACTCTCATGACGAGGTTTGGTGGACGATCGATGGAAAAAAGCCTGATGACATCGCGGTCGACATAACCATTAGTGAAAGGTATCATAGTGGTCGTCTGCAAGGAAGTGATAGCTTTTGCCCCTCAATCTAGGAGTGTTTGATATATACTAATCGATGAAAATAAACATTTTGCCTTTCGTTCACATAAATTGTGAAGATTTCCACGTCTTGAATGACTGTATTCCCAACGCTTAGCTACTGCACCGCTATCCAAGAGCCATGTGCCACCTCATGTCTGTTAAAGAATTGAATTAGATGTCCTGAAGCTCTGCCGTAGTTTTCCCCTTTCCAGCAGTTGTCTTAAACCTAGAAAAATTCACACATTCATGATGTGCACTCGGAAGTAGGTGGAACGCCTCCCCTACACGAATGAGAAGGTTACAGTGTAGGGTTGTGAATACATGAGAGAGCAGTTGTCACTCTGTCCCAATCTTGGAGTATGTGCCTATGTTCGTGTGCCTCAGAAAACTGTGTTTAGTTATTATTGCACTGATCATACATTTCCTAATTTTTCCCTCTGTAAATACGTTATCCTGTTTTAAATGTTAACTAAATACCTTTATGTTTTTCAAATTTTATTTTTAAAATGATTAATGATATCACTCACTTATGAAGTAACAGCCTTAGGGCATTTTATTCTAAAATAAACCCGAATTTTTTAAAAGAAAAGTACAAATTTTTAAAGACATAGTATTTCTGTGCTAATGAACCACAACATTACCAAAAAGTGATTGGTTCACTGCAACTGTTAACCAAACTGTTACACGACAATGGAATTCTAAAATCGTAAGCTTTATCATCTGTGTATAGATAGAATTCAAAAGCTGTTTCATAATAGTAAATTCAGACTTTGTGGAGAAATTATAAAATGTTTACTTTGTATTGGATACTTAGCTGCTTGGCTGGTGCGTTTTATAAGAGGTAATGGTAAAGCAGACGTGTTTCTGTATAATGTGGTACACAGGGTGACTTGGATTGGATGGCATACGAAAGTGGAAGAAGGAATTTAGCCAGCTTTAGGAGATTTTGTCAGTTTTGGGGTTCAGTTTAGGAGCTTCTCGAATGATACATTACCAAAATAAGGATTTGGGTAGAAATTAACTGGACAAAAAAAAATGGAAAGACTTCCTGGTATGGGAAACATCACATGCAAAGGCTTAGAGGTTAGAGAAGCAAGACACAAATGTAGCCTTGCCAAAACTGAATTACTTTTTGAGTAAAAGAATTTATTAAAGATGTGGCTGGAGTGTCCAAGGGAGTTACTGATCATTTCAGGAATTCTCATCCTTGCCTTCATCTTCAGTCATAATGAATAATGGTAAATTAACGCCTTTCCTCCTTGCTATGATTGAGACACGTTCTCAGTGTTCATCAGATCAGGAGAGGGAAGCTTAGGGTAAACCAGTCAGTCCTTAACCAGATTTGCAGGACTCATAACAGTAAATCCACTCCAACCCAAACCTGGATGGAGGTAAGCTGTAAGAGCAAAGTTAATTCAAAGGGATTTTAAATCTTGATCTTAGATCCAAAGCACTTGATCTCAAAGCTCACTGAATTTGGGTATATTTATTTTCACAGTTTTCCTGCTCTGAGCCATTTCTTTTCTTTATAGTGTTAGGATTTAGCCATAACCAAAATATTCTGTGTTCAGTATCCAGACTTCTGGAATCACCAAAGTGCAACAGCTGCTACTGCAAGATAATGAGAACACTCTGCACCATCACTTATGAAGCTTTGTTTCTTACCCATACACATATTCAGGCCTCAGAATTATTCAGTAAATGAACACATGCAGCGCACCATGTAGGCATTACTACCTTCCTCTTTTACAAAACATGAGACATGGAAACATTAGTGGTTACTTTGCCCAAAGTAGGGAGCTGTAAATGGGAAAATCTGCACAAAACCCAACTGGGCCTAATCACAGAAGATTCCTTCTAAACCAATACAGCGTCCTGCACCAGACGTGTGAGCAAAAGAGACATTTTGCTTGGAAGAGAGCAGTAGTAAGAAGCCACTATTGGGATTCGCTTTCGGCATTAGGATGTGCAGTCTAGACAGTGAAAGCACCATCGGTGTCTAGCATTGTGTTACAGGCAACGCTGTGTGTAAACACTCTTCTCTCTCCTGGGTTCTGTGGCTGCTTCCTTGTCTGATTCACAGCGTGCAGCCCGTGAGTCTCACAAATGCTTTGATTTTCTTTCCCCTTCCTCTAGTTCAAGTTATTCTAAAACAGAAGACGAAACGAGAACTCAAGTCTTGAGCATCAAGAAAGTAACCTCTGAGGATCTCAGGCGCACCTATGTCTGTCACGCTAGAAATGCCAAAGGAGAGGTTGACAGAGCAGCCACGGTGAAACAGAAAGGTAATGGATGCCCTCGGCAGGTGAATCTGTGAATGCCAAAGGTAGCACAGGGGTGAGTAGGAGAGGAGACATTGAGATCGAGAAGGCTCCTGCACCTAGCACAGTGCCTGACACGTAGCAATGAAGCCAAGTTGAATGAAAACTCATGAGAGAAGGTTTCCAGCTACATGAAGATAAATGCTACTCAGAATCATAGCTTTTGGGGGACTCTCCTGGGAATTGAACTCAGGGCTTTTTGCGTGTTTCACAAGGACTGCTGAGCTATACCCCGCCACACCTTAAAATATTTCTAATCACGTTAATACTTTAGTGCCCAACTGTTGCTTTAAAAAAATCCATATGATCATAATAATGAAGCATAATTCCTACCTAAATCATCATGAAAAATGAAAAGAAAATATTCAAAGCTAGCTACCGAGGATATACTAAACTCGAGAGTCACTTATTCTTAAGTGTGAAGACCCTTTTAGAAATCACTCATGGCAGAGTTCAAGAGTCAAAAATGAGCTTATAACTGACCTAATGCTTTTGGAATTTTCCTGAATAAATAACAGATAATTATGTACCCACTGATATGCTTAAAGTATTATCTATAATAATGAAACACAAATAGCAACCATCTAACTGCATAAAAGGAGTTAAGGTACAGAACACTAGTTCTCAAAAGTATGTTTTTTTAAAAAAAATCATTTTGGACACCCTGTATCAATATTTAAGTAGTTTTATAATGTACTACCAGCCGTAATTCCTAAATTGAAAACTAAACTATGATTTTAAATGTTGTAAAAATGATTTCTGTGTTCATATGACTATATTCTTGCATAATAAATAAAACTTATGAAGCCTTCTTGTGTGAGCTCTTGCTCCAAAACAGACTGTCTACAGATCTCTTTGGGTCTCTCCCCTAACACAGAATCCCAGTCAATCGGTCCCTTTCAGAAAGTTCTTCCATGGTCTGGCAAAAGCGTAAAAGCCATCATCACACTTGCCATCAGGTCATTCAGAATCTTCCTGGATCCTAGAATTTGACAGAGCTTAAAACATTATATCAAACCTGGAAGAAGCCTAGTTCATGATTTGTTACATCTTGCCCTGGGATTGAATCTCCTTTAAAAAGTCGATGAACTGGCAGGATACGTCTGAACATTGTATTACACATGAAAAACAAATGAGCAAGGCCGGAAGTATGTATACCTCTGAAGAAGTCTTGGTTGGTTTGATCAGGATGAGTCTCGCTCCTCAGAGGCATTCTGAAGACTGATGTGCACTGTAGCAGCTTCCCAGGGTCTGTTCCTGAGAACTGTGCTGGCATTGACTACATCCCTGCCCTGTATTTCCCGAACTCTAAAGTTCACAGACTCTGTTGAAATTCTCGTTTCTATGTATCCTAACACATGAAACTGGCAAAGTCATGAAATCTCTCTGAGCGTCAATTTATTGATATTTAAGTAAGCCAAATAATGTCAGTACCTCATCAGGTTGTTTGAAAGTACTCAAAACAGATATCGTGTATCACAATATACATTAAATATTCACTAAATGTTACCCTCACAATTTACACAGTTTTCATAGGGATTATTTCATGAAGGCTTTTATAATCAAATACATACCGTTATGCTCTAGGTTTCACAAAAGCAGTCAAATTTCTCTATCTCAGGAACCCTTAGAGCCTTTGATATGTTAGCATTTGGTAGGAATACCCATGAGGTTTATGATAGGAGGTTGTTTTCAAAGATATTTCACTTAGGAATTCTTATGGATGGAACATCGTGTGGGACACTCGATCTGAGGCATGTATTCTGGGAAGCAGTTATGGGAGATGACATAAATTATTCACTTGTCAAAATAAAAAAATGAAACAAGCAAGTAAAATGTTTTACGTAGCAAGTAAAATGTTTTACGTAGGAGTGAAGCACAAGTCTGCACCAGAGCCTCTTGAGCAACTTCTCCAGCACAGAACTGCTGCTCTGGTGTACTGTGGACCATCTGCAGGGCCTTGAGGGGAGGTGTGGACCCAGAAGGCCAGGTGAATTGTGCTGAGTCAGGTGGTCTTACGACCAGTGGTACAGGAGGGATGGTGGCTTGGTTTGCTTTGCTTCTGGTCTGGGCTAGCTCATGCTGAAATTCAGAGGGTATATCTGAGCTCGTATCCCTTCCTTATATATACTAGCCCTTCCCTGAATTCATTCACAAAACATTCTTGGTACTTCAGTAGAAATGGGAAAAACCTCAGAATACAGAATCAGAGAGATTTACCAATTAAACTTTATTGACAGCACAATTTAGTCAGCTAAAACAAAGTAAAAAAGAACAGGGACTTAATGTAAGCATGTTAACTGTGCAGTTGTTGTATAATATGACAGTGATAAGGATTAAAGGAAGGTGTCTGTTTAACTTACGAGAATCCTCCAGAGCTATTTTAAAGAGGTTCTATTCTTTTTCACTGCCTCTGGGACGTACAGACATTTCAGATGCTATCCTTCCTCACCAGCTTTTGGAGCTATCAAATGTTAAATTTTATCAGTGCTAATACATAAGTAGTGATATCGCATTATTTTACATTTTTCAGATATTAATGATACTGAGCATTTTTTCTTGAACAAACCAGTCATTAATTTTTTTTTTTTTTTTTTTTTTTTT